GGCTCCCCAGTCTTGCTGTACTCACAACCCTGTATTTCCGTATGCTGTTTCTTTTTATGTCTTGATCTCCTACCTTTTCCTTGCCTTGCTAGTTGTTTGTTATTCATTATTTATCCTAGACATCAATTCCCCTGTGAACCCTTCCCTGTTGGCCACTCAGCCCTATCCCAGCCACTCCAGTATGGGCTAAGTGCCCCTACCAGTGCTTCCATAACACCGTATCTCTTTGTAATACTTATCACATAGAGTTATAATTGTAGCTGTATTTCTCCATTTTCCTAGACTGTGAGCTTCTTGAGAACAGGCACAAGGTCTGACATGCAGTGGGACTGACTCAGTAAATGCAGAATGAGTGAATGGTATGCATGCAGAGTGCAGTCTTGGTGTGTGAATGTTTAGAGGATAAGTCCTGTGATATATTCTACATAAGACCTAAGACATCGTGATCTACAGGAAATAGTAAACAGTAACCATATGCCTGAGGCCTGTGTTGGTCCATTTACAAATCACCTACCATCCATGAGGCTTTTTGAAATATACTGAAAGATGTTCCTCTTGAGTACTTAACCTGTTAGCACTGTTTGAGAAGAGTGACATAGATTAATACTTCAGTGTTAATAATACTTCAGTGTTCTTGCAGCACAGAGACCAAGATACATTACAGAATGTTAGACACTCAGAATCTCAGCCTACAAAGTATGTAAAGTACTGTGAGCATCTTAAGTTTGATAGCTTACCCACATATGAAAAGGACAGCTATTTCACAAAATTTAAAAATGTGAAAGATCTGGACAGGCACGGTGGCTCATGCCTGTAATCCTAGCACTTTGGGAGGCCAAGGTGGGCAGATCACTTGTGGTAAGGAATTCAAGACCAGCCTGGCCAATGTGGTGAATCCCCATCTCTACCAAAAATCAAAATACGAAAATTAGCTGTGCATGGTGGCGCACGCCTGTAGTCCCAGCTACTTGGAAGACTGAGGTGGGAGAATCACTTGAACCCAGGAGGCGGGGGTTGCAGTGAGCTGAGATGGCGCCACTGCACTCCAGCCTGGGTGAGTGAGACCCTGTCTCAAAAGAACAAAACAAAAGGCCACGTGCAGTGGCTCACGCCTGTAATCACAGCACTTTGGGAGGCTGAGGTGGGCAGATCACCTGAGGTCAGGAGTTCAAGACTAGCCTGGCCAACAGGGTGAAACCCCATCTCTACCAAAAATATAAACAATTACCGGGAGTGGTGGCCAGAGCCTATAATCCCAGCTACTTGGGAGGCTGAGACAGAAGAATCACTTGAACCTTGAATCACTTGAACTCGGGAGGTAGAGGTTGCCTCGAGCCAATCGCACCATTGCACTCCAGCCTGGGCGACGAGTGAGACTCCAATCTTAGTAAGACTCCATCTCAAAAAGAAAAAAAGTGAAAGATTTTATAGTGTGCTCAAGATTGCCTTTTTCTCTTTATGTTTTTCTCTTTATTTTTTAAAAGTGTAAATTATAAAATTAATGTCAATTATAACATAAAATAACATTTTTTTTTATCTTAAGACTTTCTCATTTATACCTTGGGCCAGAAAAAAAGGAGATGAGTGCAAAGATACAGAAATTTTAAGTCGAACAAACCATTCTAAGGTTGTTACCCTTAGTTATAACTTTTATTACTTGTTTGCCTCCGTTTTGTTTTCAGAGTTAAGAAAATGTGTATTTTCATGGTATTTTCCAGTTGCAAACTGACTTCATATTAATGATTATGTGAGTCTTGTACAAAAAAGAATTTGATGCAGGTGGAAAGGTAGTTATTCTTCATTTTTGTGGATGGGGAGCTTAGGCCACCAGAGTTAGGGCCCTGCTGTTTGGAACGCAGGTGAATATCTTATAAATGAATGAAGTGAAAGCATATTGAACTTTTGTGTCCAGTAGTATGGCAGACTAGAGACTCTGGCTGATTCTCAAACCAAAAGCAACTCAGAGTGCTGAATAAAACATATAAAACATCTTATCAAACGTATCAAAGAGCTGGCAAGAATATAAGAAACCCTGAAGGGCACAAACTAGGTATAAGTGAGAACCCAGACTGGTAAATAATAACAATGCAAATGAAATGGAAAAAAAAGACAGTTATGGGGAAAATGTACCAAAAGTAATTAATCTATCATTTCCTCGCCTGCCAAAATAGCTAGTGAGTGCCAGTGCTTGTGTTCTTATAAAAGCTGGCTTTTGCAACTCCTGTACAAAAGCAGAGCAATCTCAAAAGTGTCTGTCATTATATTAATTATGGACAACGCTGTATTTCAGGCCCCCTTTCTGATGTTGAAATAAATGACTGGGAAAAATTGGAAAGCTGAGAGAAAGGGTTGAACAGAGAGCTTAGACTCTGAAAAATATGATTCCCCCCTTCAAAAGAATCACTTTAACAAGCCACATATATATAACAAAACGTTTTGAGAACTGACTTTAGATCCAGTTTATCACACACACAAATTGCCATCCATCAAACAAATATTTATTTGTTGCTTCTCTGTGCCAACCATGTAAATAATTTTCAGTAAGAAGGAAGAGAAGGAAAGATGAGACACAATGAGAGGGCTTCCTGGCCTCGCCTTACTTTTTAATACCAGCTGCCAATCTATGACTGAGGCTTCCTTCATCCCTTCCCATAGGTTCTATGAGAAATCCTTCTGTCCTTAAAATAATTCTCCCTTTTTGCTTTATATAGCTTTGAATGATTCCAATTACTGCCACCAGAAAATTATCCTAAACAATATATTTTCATACAGGGATTGGTTTCTGTAACAGCTAAAAAGCTCAAAGTAACAGTAGCTTAAAGAAAATAAAATTTATTACTCTCACATCAGTGTAGGTGACTCTCTAATCAGCAGATCCATGAGCTTCTTCCATCATGTGGCTTTACCATCCTGAAATGCAGCTTCTCCCTTATGATCCGTCATGGCTGCTCAAGCTCCTTACAGCCTTTTTCCAATGAGCATAAAGGAGGTAGGGGCAAAAAGGAACACGCCTCTATTCTAGGCCACTTGCAGAAGTTGTAAACATCACTACACTATACTCTCTTGGTCAAGTGTAGTCTCTATTTGGCAGCCATGGCCCAGCTAAAAATCAATGGTTCTAACACTAATGAAGAAGGGGAGAACATATATTAAAGAGAACTAGCAGTCTCTACTTCATCACCTGAGATGAGACTTAGGATGATAGAAATGGTGATGGGGTGGGACATACAAATAGAACAAAGGCAGTGCTAGGAAAACATGCAGTGTGTTCAGAGATGGTAAGCAATGCAGCTTAGTTGGCTCATGGAACAAGCGCAGGTGGATAGATAAGCCTGGAAAGATATGCAGGAGCCTGATTGTGGAAAGATCATAAATGCCAGACTGAGGAATATAGAATTTGATAGAAGAAGGTTTCTGAAAGATTTTTGAGCTGGAGAGTAAAATGATCAAAACAATGCTTTAGGAAGACTTGTGTTGGCAATGCCTAGAATATATTTGAGGAGAGAATGACTACAGGCAAGGAAATTAGATAGGAAGCTACAATGAGATAGTGCCTATACTTCATAAAAACAGAGAAGAGGAAACATTTCAAAGGATGTTGTCTAATGCAGCAAGTGATTAGCTGTCCCACACCTCTCTCATGCGCGCGCGCGCACACACACACAGAGCTTACTTAGCATCCATTATACCTTTTTGAGATCAGCACATTGATGTTACTTGGAGAAGCATCTTTCCACCATATTCGGTTCACATGATTCCAGTGGAACTGAATTCCCCCAACTCCAGGGGGGAATATGTGATGCAGGCTTGACCATTCAGAGAATACTCCTAGTCTCTGTGATGGATTCGGTGATAAGCAAATGACTCAAAAGTCAGTTCTGGGACTTTTGGGTTAACATTGGGAAAAATGAATCTCTCTATATGGATTGCTGAGATCAAATGTAAGCTGCTGGCAACAATCTTGCCCCCATTGGAGAATATGCCTAAAAATGGAACTAACATGGAGAAGGCAGATCTGAGAGAAGAGAAAACCAAGTGTGAGTCCTAATGACATCATTTTACTTCCTGGATCAACCTGTGACTGAAACCATAGACCCTGGACTTTTTAGTTACCTGAACCAGTAATTTTCTCTTTGCTTATGCCAGATTATGTTGGGTTTTCTGCCACTAGCAACTGAATATACAGAAATAAAGGTGAGAAAGGAATCAATGAGAATTCCAAGTTTTAAAGACAGTATCATCTACCTTTGCCATACATAGTATTAATCAGTTTAGCTCTGATCAATTTTATCAGTTCCAAAAAATCCAATCTACATTCAAAGAGAGGGTGTTTGGGGCCGGGCGTGGCGGCTCACATCTGTAATCCCAGCGCTTTGGGAGGCTGAGTTGGGCAGATCACCTGAGGTCTGGCGTTCAAGACCAACCTGGCCAACATGGTGAAACCCTGTCTCTACTAAAATTATAAAAATTAGCTGGGCACGGTGGTGGGTACATGTAATCCCAGCTACTAGGGAGGCTGAGGCAGGAGAATTGCTTGAACCCAGGAGGTGGAGGTTGCAGTAAACCAAGATTGGGCCACTGCACTGCAGCCTGGGCAACAGAACGAGACTGCGTCTCAAAAAAAAAAAAAAAAGAAAGAAAAAAGAGAAAGAAACAAAAGGTGTTCATTATGATTGGGAATGTTCACAGTAATGCTGTGAAAACTCTGAAAATAATCAGACTCATAGATGATTGGAGTTAGAAGAGACCTTTAAGTCATCTCCCATCACCATCTATTTTCACAAATGAGAAAGCTGAGACCCCGGAAGAGGAAGTGATTTTATCCAAGGTCACAGAGCTAAGATGTCCCAAAGCTGAGTCTTGAACCCAGGTCTTTGGAATACTAATCTATATATTTCCATTGTATCATCCTGAACTTCAAAATAGGACATCTAAAAAATGTTGTTGAGTACATTCGAGATACATATAACACAAATACAGACAATTTCCCATGAAGCAACTATTTTGAAAAGACTATTTATTTTGAAAGCATGGGAGTGGCAGCAATGTTCACCACATTCTTGTGAGGATAGATGGTCTTCTGCACAGTGTTGCTGTGACTCATGCCATTGTACATTAAGTGAAACCAACCATGCTGTGTTAATCACTAATAAGTGGACCTAGATAGATACCTGAGCCAAAAGCAACCCTGTGTGGCTAGATTGAAGATGAGAAAGGTCAAATTCTTGAAGTGGCATGAAGCTCTCCCCAGTAGGGATCCTCCATTCTGTCAAGGGAAATCAACCCAGTCAGTCCCCCTCCCTTTGCAAATATGAATGCTAAGTATGCACACAGAGGGTGGTCATTCAAGTTCAACTGGTAAGCCAAATCAAGATAAACTCTTCTCCATTAGGCTTACTACATCCTCATTAGAGAAATACTGGGATCCACATATCCTGTAATACCTAATCTCTATATTTTTGCAATAATTATGCATGAATTCCTTTACTTATTGAGTGTCCTTTACATGCCAGATACTTTTCAGCTACTTGGAAAATGACAGAGAATAAAATAATGTCCCTGCTTTAATAGCTTTTACATTCTAATGGAAGAGACAGTACAGATGTAAGTATATAACATGATGTCGAGTAATAATATGTGTGTGTTATGAAGAAAAATAAAGTAGGACTCATTACTTCATGAGAACTTTATCACATAGCCAAACACGGCTATAAGGGAAGACAGAAAACGTCGTCTCTATGTCAGAAGTCATCTGCCCGGGAAAAAGAACTAGCAGTCTGCCCCAAAAATAAAATAAGATTAAATTAAATTAAATTAAATTTAAATTTAAAAAGTACGAGTAGAAACAGGAAAGGAGTTACACTTTGATGTATCTAACACATCCACAAATTAACGAACAATTCATCTTTTGTTTAAATTAACCATAAGGTAGTATTTGCCTGGTTATTCACATAAACACATAGATAACTTGTATTTCTTGGGTTCCTTTGGGGGAGTCTTGTCTCTCAGTGTTTGTCCAATTTTGATGCTGTCATTCGTCAGTTATTTCTTGTGTGTCATTAGTGGGCTAAGTAATACTCAATTAAACAGATGACAGAACATTTCTGAGGCAGAAATGTTTCTCTGTTCTCCAAGGAAAATATCCCTGCCTCAGTACCCCTCAATTGCTGCATATTTTATCTCAGCCAGTGGTTTTTTTTTATTTTTTAAAGCAACAGATAAAATTATATGTATTTACTGTGTACCCTCAGCCAGTCTTATTTATAAAAACAATATCTACTCCGTTTCCTGTACCAAGCATTCTCACATAAATATCCATGCCCTTGTAAGTCATTCAGTTATTTATTGAGTGGCTACTACGTAAAATATGCAGTTGGTGAACCACTAGCATCAGAATCACCTGAGATGCTTGTTTAACTCAGGCTTTATGAATCAGAAGCTTTAAGAATTAGGCCTGTCTGAAATTTCTCAACAAACATTAGAAGCAATTTTTATGACACTTTAGGAGTCAACAGTAAAGAATGCATGGTACACAGTAAAGCAGAAAATTCTCCAAACTGCAATCTAGCTGAGTTAACATAATATATACATAAAACAGTGATTTAAAAAATGTATCCAGAGAGTAAAGATAGCATCCTCTATTCTTCCACCTCTCAGAAATTACTCAGTAACAAGGATAATGACAATAATACAAAATTCATTTTCATTGAAAACAGTAGATACCTGAAACCCTGAACTACAATATATGTGAAATACAGTGAAAGGCAGAAATACTTTAATAAAAGATGTAAATGCCTGCAGACTGCAGAAGACATCATCAATATCAACAAAGCACACTTCACAAAAGTGACTTACCTTAGAGACAAAACCAGCAATCTTTCATTTGAAATAAAGGAATCAAGTATGTGGACAGGCAGCAGTGTCTTCCTTCAACCTGGCTGATTATAAAAGAGAAGGTGATAAGGCACCATTGGAAGAAGAATCATTCAGACATACCACATATGCAGAAGCATTGTGTTGGTGAGGCAAAATGGAAAAAATATATATAGACTGCGATGTGAGCAGCCCTGTGATTGCCAATTTCTCTTAGTTAAAAGTAGAAGCCAAAGGAACTCATCTACACAACCTCTGTGTCATAAGCAGAATTCCTACTAGGCTGAAACGTGGTCCAGGCCTCTCAGCACAAACCTTCTGCAATTAGCAATTCTTGGAAAACCTCTCCTCCAAACATGAACAGTCAATCAAAAAGTAATCAATCATCCAGGCACGGTGGTGCAGGCCTGTAGTCCCAGCTACTTGGGAGGCTGAGGCAGGGGATCTCTTGAGCCCAGGAGTTCGAGGCTAGCTTGGGCAACATAGTAAGATTCTCTCTAAATTTTTTTTAAATTTTAAAAGTATGTATATAAAAACCATACACATTTTACAAAAATATATGCAAACAAAAAGATACATATTTAATGCATTTGTATGACTGCTTATCCAGGGGAGGATAAGAATAGGAATAAAAAGGAAACCATAAATAAATAAAACTAGCCTTCCATGAATCAATTATGATAATGTGGCATGAACTAATAAGTATGACTAACTCAACTTTCTTAAGTGCCTTCACTGGAAATTTTTTTTTAAAAGCAGCAGAACCACAAAAGGAACTTAAATATGAATTGAAAAAGGGAGAGGAAAAAAATAACTATTTAAAAAATGAAGACAAAATTAACACAAACTTGGAATAAACACTTGTTAAGGGGGAAAAAAAAGCAAAATAAAAAATGTTTTAAGAATCACAAAATACCAGATTGAGAAAAACAAGTTAAATGAAATGAAAATGAAAAAAAAAGGATTAGAGAGAAAATTATGTAAATGGAAAGAAACAAAAGAAATCCAATATGTACATAATCTAACCAAAGAATCTAGAAGTTGGAACAGGAAAAAAAAAAAAAAGCAGATAAACATTTTGAGACACTTTCAGAAATAAAAGACCTAAATCTATAGATTGAAAGAGCATACCATATCCCAAATAAAAAAATGACAAGAATAATCAAACTAAGACCTAGTCTAGCAGGGCTACTGGATTTCCAAGAGAATGACAGAATCTTTTGGGCATCCAGAGCAAAATGATCAAGACATCTATAAGGGGGAAAAATTAAAATGTAATTCTAAAGATTTCATATCCAAGGATTTCATACCAGAGTAACTTATTCAAATAAAAATATAATGAACACTTTTGAACATGCAAGCAGTATGGTTTTCATATTGCCCTTTTTTATAGGATATTCCTAGAGAATGAATTTCAACCACCAAAGAGACGAATTTAGAAGTATGGGCAGTGGGAGGAGACTGGTAGCAATCATTAAATCCATTTATCTATAGAAGCAAGTCTAAAATAATGTTGAGAATTATGGTCATAGAACAGAGAGTAACTGCTGTAAGTCTTGACAATATCACAATGAAATAACTAACAAAAGCTGAAAGAGAAAAGAAATAAGGTAAACACTACAAAAATAATACAATTAGGGGGTGAAGAGGCGAGGAACAGGAAACATACTGCTCAACGCTTTCAATAATGTATAAAAAATAGTTTCAAAGTTATTAAGATGACCACTGGAACAAAAATGCAAACCTTTCAAGTTCAAAAAACATGCATACACAAAGAATATATATACAGGCCATATAGTGAAAAATAAATAAATGAGCACTACAAACAAAGCCTAACAAAAAAACAAAAGATAGGTAAAGTAAAATCAAACATGACATGACTTTCTTTTCAACAAGCTCTGAAAATTTTCAATTAATTTTCTCAACTGGGATATCAGGGCAAATCTCAACCTTGTGCTATATACATAAGATACAGTGAAAATAAAATGATTTAGAAAGGTGGAAGATAAAAAGATAGGTGAAGGCATACCCAGTAAATTAAAACCAAGATCAAGATTTTATCTCAAAGTTAAATTCAAGGAAAAAGTATTAAATGAGACAAAGATAGGTACTTTATAAAACATGAGATGCAAAATTAAGATTTCACACTTATGAATATCAATGTACCAAATAACATAGAATTGAAATTTATAAAGTAAAACTACATCAAATTCAAAGAGAAATCCACAGAAAACATGACTAGTTAATTTATCTCATCCAGAACAGATCAAGTGGTCAAAAATTAAGTAAGGATATAGAAGACCTAAATAACATAATTAGCAAAATAGATTGTATATGTACATTTATGTATTTATAAATGTATATAAATATGTGAGTGAAAATAATACATTTTCTTTTCATGTACCATAGACTAGTCACAAACATTGATTAAGTATCTAAAGGTGCTTCAGATAGACCTAAAAATTTTGTCTCTAATGGACAAGGGAAATGCTCCTTTATTCTCAGCCCCCTTTATTATTTTTATTTTTTTAATTCAGCTCTTTTTTTGAAAATTTAAGTGAGTACAAATGAAGAAAAAGAGTGAAATAAGATTGTACACACTCATTTTCACTTTTAACAATTATCAATGAAGTACCAATCTGTTTCATCTATACCTCCAACAACTTCTTGCCATCCTGCATTTTATATTTAGTTTCTTTATCAACTTTATTAAGGTATAATTTACATACCATAAAATTCACTCATTATTAAGTATATGAATCAATAATTGTTAGTAAATGTATGTGCAACCACACTACATTCCAGTTTAAGAACACTTCCATTATCCCCAAAAGATCCTTCATGTCGATTTGCAATAATTTTACTCTTAACCCCAGTTCTAGGCAACCACTGATCTGCTTTCTGTCTATATGTTTGCTTTTTCTCTCAACTCCTTTTAACTACAGCTGGCTTCTCTTTTGTTTCATTTGCATTTTGAACTTCCAGCTTGGAAAAAAAAAGTTTGAAAACCATTATGACATACACTTACTTAAATAACAATGTAAAAATATATTTTATTTTAAATTTAAGATGTACGTCCCATGTGCAAAATATATGGAATGGAATGCTCCAAAGCAGCAGTATCCAGTACGTGATCTAACTGATCCTGGTTAGGTAGAACACAGAAACTTTGCAAAGACTATCTCAAAAAGGAATTTGAGAAGTTTGGTCTAAACGTGGATGTTTATTGTATGTGGGGTACCTACAGTGAAAGAGGGGAGAAATGCTTTAATACTAATTCAAGCATTAAAGTGGTCTGATGCTCCTTGCATCGTTCATCGGGTGTGTTTTTGATTTGATCTTTGAAAGAAAGCTTTTCCTGGTCTAAGAATAGAAATTATCATGGTTGCCAACATTCTTCATGCCTGTACTCCTAACCATCATCGGTTTGGGCAAAGACAAAACAGCGTATGCAGTCTGGGTTAATTTTAATGCAGTCAGAAGTGTAGGTTATGGGTACTTGTTAAAGAGATGTTTTGAGGTCAAGAACCTTGGGGAATTAAAGAGCTCTCACTGGCCCAACTTATTCAACATTCAGGGGCCCAAGAGATTGTGCTTTCCTGTTGTTCTAATGAAACATCTTAATATACTGAACTTGCAACCACAGGGGAAAGGAAGGGCTTTTGTTTCAGAAAGTAAACATCTCAGGCATAAACCAGGCATACGAGTTGAGCTCAGGTCAACTGCCTTGAGCTTAATGGAATTACAGATTTTTGAGGAGTTGCTGTACTATTTTGGTAGAAATAAAGTCCAAATTTTAGAAGACATATTCTGATGAACATGAATCATACTTCAAGTTTCTGCAGCTGCTTTTGGTGTGCAAACCCCAAGATGTGTTTGAATTACCAAGTGTCTCCCCTATCTGTGCAGCTTGATTGCAAGAGGAATTTAATTTCACAGACCTGAAAGGGAAACTTGCTATCAAAAAAGACAAAATTTAATTAGAATTTGAGTAGTGGTATATGAATCACAAAATTATCTTAAATTTTATTCTTCCATGAAACTACTGAAATCCAAACTGATGGCAATCATACCATCAGAAACAAAAATTTGGAGTAGAAATTCAGCTATATACTGCTTGTATACAGTCTAGACGGTTCAAGAATTGTTTAGTCACGTATACAACTGGATTATCATTGACATAACCAAAATTAATTAACAAGTTTCTGTTTCAGGTAAGTATCTTTCAGGACCAAAAATACTCTGACATCATCCCTGTGTGAAATTATTCTTGCCAGACAAGCAGGAACTTTTGGCCACAAGAAATGGGCATCTGTCCCCAGTTCAATGCTAGCAATGCCAGCTTAGGGCCCAGATGATTCAGGTAATTGTAGAAACTGACCCTGAGGCAAAGAGTTGGAAACAGTGTTAGAAATATCTGAATATTGCTTAGGCTGATATTTTATAAGAAGTAAATGAACAATACATACTCTTAATTGGTCTGTCTCTTGGGGTCCTGAAATTTCCAGCATATTGCAATTATGAGGGTTTTTTTTTCTTTTTTTTCCGAGTTGGAGTCTCACTCTGTCACCCAGGCTGGAGTGCAGTAGTGCAATCTCAGCTCACTGCAACCTCTGCCTCCTAAGTTCAAGCAATTCTCATGCCTCAGCCTCCTGAGTAGCTGGGATTACAGACACCAGCCACCATGCCCAGCTAATTTTTTGTATTTTTAATAGAGACCGGGTTTCACCATATTGGACCAGGCTGGTCTCAAACTCCTGACCTAAGGTGATCTGCCCACCTCAGCCTCCCAAAGTGCTAGGATTACGGACACGAGCCACCACTCCCAGCCCAGTTATTAGGCTTTAAGTAACATCTAGCCAAGAGATATGAGTCATAACTAGCTTTGGTAGGCTATATGTACATTTTTATTAACAGAGTTGATTAGGAGAGAATTCAGGCCACATGCTTATAGATTTCCTATTATTCCTAAAATGTGAACATTACTATTCTAAAGAGTTGGAGAAGATTTCTGGCGTGAACATGAGTGGGTATATTAGTATTTTCTCTTTTCTGTCTTTGAAAATCATTCTGGAGATAAAAGGATAAAAACACAAACCCCACCTTCCAAAATCTGCAAGCCCATTTTTTTTTTCTTTTGCAGAGTATGACACAAATATACTGCCCAGGTTCTAAAACATGTATAAGAGTTGACAAAATCAGCTGAGGTTGAGCAGAAATTATATAGGAAAAAATAGGAAAAATACAGAGACCAATCTCAGCTGCAAGAAGGCTCAGCTAGACACTGCAAGCAGAAGTATAACCCCTGAAGGTAAGAGACACATCCTGAGTTACAAAAACATTATCTTTGTTTACAAAAGTGGATGTGGGAACTGGGCAAACCATGCTGGCAACAAAAGTCCCCTGTACCCAGTTTGATTC